AATATTCTTTTTTAAAAATCCTGTAGACTTCTATGTTTGGATCATTTCTATTAGTTGGAATTTATGAGGGTTCATGATGTAGTATACTGATCTAAACCCATTTACCACCAAATTGCTTTTCAGTTTTTCCAAATAATGAGCACCTTTGGCAGTATTTTATCTTGTTAACAACAACAATATTATTACTATTACTATCATAGAAAAATTAATAGAGCTCAGAGAGAAACGTTATGTTTCACCCAAAACTCCATATTCCATCTGCCTGGCTTTGCACTGGGTATTAGTCAACTAGCATTTATTAAGTGACTACTATATGGCAGGCAGGCATTCAAGTGACACAGTGGATAGAGTACCTGACCTGGAGTCAGAAAGACTCATCTTCCTGAGTTCAAATCTAGCCTCAGATACTTACTAGCTGTGTGACCCTGGGCAAGTCACTTAACCCAGTTTGCCTCAGTTTCCTCATCTGAACAAGGAGCTGGAGAAAATGGCAAGCTATCGTACAACCTTTGCCCCAAATAGAGTCACGAACAGTCAGATATGACTCAACCACCAACAACAACGTGGCAGGTGCTATGCTAGCTCTAGGCAAAGGCGAAAGACAGTCCCTGACCTCAAGGAACTCACAGTCTTAGTGGGGAGACGACATTGAAATACGTGTGTACAAACAGGATACAGAGAAGGGTGAATTAGAGATAATCTCAGAGAGACGGCATTAGAATTAAGGACCATTGGGAAAAGCTTGCATGAGAAGAAGCTGGTCAAGTGCTTTCCTAGTAATTCATATGCAACTGTGAATGTTTGCCCATCTTCACATCCCACTTTGGCAGAGAAGTTAGAGTTTCAGTTGTCTGCCTTGAAGTAACTGCTCTTTTTTCATTATATTATTAGTAGGAAAATTTTTTGTTTCTCTTTTGACCCAGCTTGCATTTTCACTGTATTGGGCTTGCCACCCTGCAGACATCCAGAGATTTTCTGGATTTTCCCTCTTCTGGGAGTCTCTGTATCCTGGGATTTCTTTGCCTCTTTCTCAAGCCTCTGTTGTAAAAGGTTTAGACTGATGTACAATTGCTTCACCCTCTCCTTTCCAGAAAGCCCTCCCTTGTAGCAAAGACTGAAAAAAAAAAAAAAAGAACAGCTATTCAGTGATGGTGACCCATCAGCTCGAAAATATCTGTCAGGGTCTGCCAGTCTCCCCCTCCCTTGGTCCAAACGTCTGTGATCAAAGATGGGAGGTGTATTTTCTGAATTCTTGTCGAGTCCAGCTTGGTCATCACAATGACTGCGTTCAGTTGCACCTGATTGTTTTGTGTGTTTACACTGTTATTATCATCATGGGCATTGTTTTCCCTGGTTCTTCTTTATTCCGAGTCATTTCATAGAACCGTACCTTTGAATTTGTCATATGCATTCCTTCTTAAGGCACAGTACCATTCCATTGCATTCACGTCCTGCTGTCTGTTTAGGCATCTGCCAATCAATACACGCCTACTTTGTTTCCAGTTCTTTGCTCCCACAAACACACTACAACCAATATTTGGAGTTCTATGGCACTTTTCTCCCCTTCACCTCTTGGGGTTTCACGCTCAGCACTGGGAACTCTAGGTCAAAGGATAGGAATATTTTAGTCACTTTTCCTAAAAATCACCTAAAAACTGCATTCCTTTTCAGAATGTTTGGGCCAATTCACAGCTCTAACAACAATACGTCAGATGCCTGTCTTCCCCACAGCCCTTCCAACACTGATTTCCTACCTTGGCCAATATGCTGGATGTGAGGTGAAATCTCTAAGTTGTTTTGGTTTGTGCTTTTCTTGTTATTAGTGACCTGGAGAAATCTCCTGTGGCTGTCAGCAATTTGCAATTTTTTTGAGAACCCTCATGTTTTCTGATCACTTCTCTGCTTGGAAATTTCTGCATTTAGTCATACACTTGTGTTAATTCCCTATATATTTTGCATGTCAGACCCTTAGCAGATTTGAGACAAATATTTCCCCCAGTCTCTAGTTTCCCTTCTTATCCTAGCTGCATTGATTTTATTCACACAAAAGCTTTTTCATTTTATATAATCACAACTTTATCTTTTTGTGTTTTATCTTTTGTGATCTACCCTATTCCTTGTTTATTTTAGATTTGTTCCTCCAAGCCATGTGTGTGAAAGGTACCTGTTCTTTGCTGATTTTTTCCCCCCCATACCTTTTATATTCCGGTTGGGTACCATTTTGAATTTACTGTGCTACGTAGAACAAGGTCTTAGTCTAAATGTAATTTCTGCCCACCTCCTTTCCAGTTTTCCCAACAGTTCTTGCTCTTACCCAGGTAGTTTATAGAAAACTGGGCTCTTTAATGTGATTGTTCCTGATTCTTATTTGATCAGTTCAGTGATTATTTTTTTTTATAACCAATACCAAATCATTTTGATGATTACTGCTTTACAATACAACTTGAGGACTGGGAGTGCTATTTCCCCTTCGTTCCTACTTTAGAAAAATGCTTCCTTTGAGACTCTGGACCTTTTGTTCCTTCCAATGAATTTTGTTGTTTTATCTCTGGCTCTGAACTCCCTTGGCAGTTTGATTCCTCTCTGACCCTGAATTTGTAAGTTAATTTAGGGAGTGTCATTTTTATTACATTAGTATGGTTCCACCTTGAGCAATGACTATCTGCCCCATTTCCTGTAATTATTCATTTCTTTGAAGAATACTCTGTAAGGGCACGTCTTAAAGTCACGAGCGTGCTTTGGTAGCTTGCGTTTTAAAGTGATTCAGAAGGGCATTCGCTTCCCTGTGATTTCCTCCTCCATTTTGTTATTGCCGTATGGGGATGATGAGGATCATTTGTTGCCATAGAATTGCCAGCATGAATACATGCCCCTGAAAGCAATTTTCGAATAGCTGGAAATGTGAGTGCCAGTAAGCGGTGTACAAAGCAAAGGGAGAGCTTCAGCATCTCTGCACTTGAATGGCTCGTGCACTGACCACTGGCTCCCCATGTAAGCAGTTTTGCCACGGGATGGGAATCTAGGCCAGCTGGTCCTCACTTGGGGAGGACTCCTGTTAAACGAGGCCTTGCTTGCACCAGACTTTCAATTACTGAGAGTCCAGGGGTGGTTTTAAATGTAGATCATTTCTTTAAAGAGTGAGTGGGAATAAATCATGTTTCAAAATGTCAAACCCTTTCTGGGCTCTGTACCAGTTCTGCAGGGTGCGAGGAAAATTACATTTACCCTTTGCTACAGTGAAGGCGGCTCGCGAAGGGCGGGGTGCCAGACCCAGGGGAGAGAGACCATTTGGGGCTGGTGCCAAATGCACCGATGGGGGTCTCCAGCTACTTCTCTCTTAGCATGTATTCTAAGGGATCTTAAAGGACAGAGCTAAGCCCTGAGGGGCTGAGAATGCTGCTGCTCTGTTCCAGTCACAAGGTCACAGGGACCTCTAAGCCGAGGCCAGGGCTTATGCTTTTGGTACTGAGTCATGAGTGCAGAAGTTCTTCTCTTGATTCTGATGCAGATTTCCAGGTATGACTCTGGGCCAGAGGTCCCAGAGAAGGAAATACCATTTCCCTCCTAGTTATGTTGTGAGTAATAAATAACAGCCTAACAATGCTTTGTGAGGGTCTGAAAGCATGAGGTCCTCAACAGTGATGTGATGAGATTGAATGCTGGGCCCCTGTATTAGTCCCAGAAGACAATGGAAGTACAGGAAGAAAACTGCAGCCTGGTGGGAATCAGCATCATTTGGATATCACGAAAACAACATATGACAACGGTGATATCTACTGCTCCTTCCCATCGCCTGTGTGTACAGGGGGAAGACACCCGGAATACGATGAATGGGGAGGAAAGGGGAGAATAAGCATCTCATGTAGTACCTATTACATGCCAGGCATTCTGCTGTGCATTTTGTAGTTATCATCTCATTTCATCCTCACAACAACCTTTCGAGGTAGATAATGTTATTATCCCTATTGCATAGTGGAGGAAACTGAGGCAAATAAGGTTAAATGACTTGCCTAGGGTCACCCAGCTAGTAAGCGTCTGAGGCTAGATTTGAACTCAGATCCTCTTGATTCCAGGCCCAGTGTGCTATATCACTGCCTCAGTGACAGTAGGTTGATTGAGGGGCGGGAGTGGGAATGAGGGGTGAAGCCATCTTAGGGCTTCCTTGTTTTTCCTTTGTGGGACCAACACGGGGATGTGCTGTGGAATCCAGCGCTGCCACTTGGGGGCATTTGCTCCAGGAAAACAGAGGATTTTCTCTTGGCCCAACTGACTGCATCCATCAGTATTCAAGAGTGTTTCCATGCTCACCTCTTTCAATGACAGAGAGGAAGATCAAAGTGTTGAACTCAGGGAGCTTATAGTCTAGTTGGGGGTGAACAAAACAAATACCTCTGACTTCAGAGGATAGCCACGATGTGAGAAATGGGCATGAATTGTAAGAGTCCGTCATCTCCCTACGCGATAACGTTTGAGCTGTTGGCTGACCCGGAAAGCAGGAAAGTGAGAGGGACAGACTTCATCGGACCTGGGTTCAAATCTCACCTCACACGTCCGTAAAACGAAGGGGTGACTTCATGGTCTCTTGAGCCCATTCCAGCTCTAAAGCCATGATCCGGTGATTCCTGATAGAAGGAAGAGGATGGGTCAGAAGCACAAGAGACAGGCTCGGGGCAGCGCCGGGGTGGCGGGGGTCACGACGCGGACCTCGCGTTGCGCTCCTTCCTCTCCACCAGAGCTAGGGATAATGAGGACGCGCTTATCTTTGTGCCGTCTGTGTCTGGGGGAAGGGGCTTCGCTCTCACTGACCGACAAGTGGACACTGGCTAGCCCCCGGTAGGGGAAGACGTAAAGAAGGCTGCTGATGACTTACAGGTTGGGCTAAATGGTCTTCGGAGTCCATCCCAACTGAGGTTCCCCCTCCCTCTTCCCCTCCCTCCCTCCCTTCCTCCCTTGTTTTCCTCCTTTTCTTCCTTCCTTCCTTCCCTCCCCGCCCTCTCTCCCATTCTTCCATCACTTTCCATTCACTTACTCTTCCCTAATAGAAGCCTTCCTTTACAACAGATAGGTAGAGCTGAGCAAATCAGTGCCACCTATTAGTCATGTCTAGAGACACGTCTAATTTGTCGTCTTTCGCTGATGGATTACTGCTCTGCCGAGAGGCCGCGGGCATACAGCCCAGCGGGCATTCTGGCTGGGAAGCTGAAGACATCATTGACCCCTTAGTAGCGCAGGCTTCTGAAGTGGCTGGTCAGTATGGTCACAGGCACGTGCCAAACCGTGCACATGCCTTCCCCCCTTCCGGGCTGCTGCCCTCCCTAGCCAGGGCTAGCCCTTCTTGTCCACAGATTTTCTATAACCACTCCGGAAGCTAACACTGTGGGGATGACGCTGGCACTCGGGCCTCCCCAACTCTGTGCTGAGGGCCTCTGCAGGGGCCTCCTTGAGCCGAATGTGCCAGAGAACTGCTGGGGCCACTTCACGTGCCCTGTGACATCCCTGCTCAGCCAGCAGGGCAAAGTGTGTGGCCCAGATGAGGCTCTTTGTTGATCACTGGCCACGAATCTCTCTTTTACTGGACTGCAGTGAACGGTTCTTCTTTTTCCTGTGGAGTGTAACCTCCTTTTTTGTGGCTGTTGTTTCTGTCATCTGGAGCGCTGAGCATAGTAGCACTTGGCATATAGTAGCTGCTAAAGAAATCTTGTTAAATTGAGTAAGTTGATAGAATTTGTACATCATAGAAACAACATGTTCAAATACTGTATTTTTTTATTTTTTAGCAACCTCTCCTGCCTCAAAACCTCACCCACCAGTGGTGGGCAAAGTGACTCATCACAGCATTGAACTATACTGGGATTTGGACAAGAAAATCCAAAGAAAAGGACCTCAGGAACAGTGGTTAAGGTTTTCAATTGAAGAGGAGGACCCCAAAATGCACACTTATGGTATCATTTATACGTAGGTGCAATGTCGAACGGTTTAAAGTTTTGTATAGGTTTCTACACTACATAGAGTGGTCTGTAGTCTCCATGAAGGTCAAACATTCATTTCTGAGTCAAAGAAATCACAGGGTTGCTGAATTAAGGTGCTTTTGACCTGTCATTTTTAGAAGAAAGCATTGTAAGTAGTTTCCAAATTAAATATCAGGTTACTATATTTATCGAGAGGCAGTGGGGACAGAGTTCTCTTTGGAGTCAGAAGACCTGGATTCAAATCCTGCCCTTCTCTTAGATTGGTTGGGTGACCCTGGGCGAGTTACCTAACATCTCAGTCATCCTGGCAAATTATTGTTAGGACAAAAGTTCTTGCCCTGGGCTCTCTGGAGCCCCTGATGGATCTGAGGTGTGATCTCAGGGAGTCTGAGACCCTGGCTTTCTTTGCCCACTTCTGTAATGCTTTGCGTCTGAGAACATGATTCTGGGAAGGGGTCTGTCTATGGGTTCACCAGCCCAGTTGCTCATGGGGTCTAGGCCATACAAATGGTTCAGAACCCTTGCTCTAAAATTGGCAGAGAAGATGCTGAAGGGAGAAAGAACTCCCTTCTCTGAGGGAACCCGAGATCTGGGTCAGAATAAAGTCCTTCCCGAGGCCACAAGGCCTAGGTGCTCAAGGGTGGCCCTTTGGCCTAGATTTGACTGCATTCAGTCAAAGGGCCACACTTGAGGACCTAGGGGGCCACATGTGGCCTCGAGGCTGCAGGTTCCCCACCATAGTTAATAAATGTTTAGACAGAATCCTAGTTTGGTCTGAGAACTGGGTCCAGGCTGTCCTCTCATGTGCCTCTGAATTCTCCCACAGATTTTGTTACTTAGCATGATCACCTGACCTAGCCTAAATTGTCATTTATTCTTTTAGAAAACACTTGAACCCCTCACAGCTGCTCAGAACCAGAGAAGGGAGTGTCAGCTGAAGGGACTTGGGATCAGAATCTAGCCTGACAGCCAGCCTGCTGAATTTTCATTTTGGATCTGTTTTTGGCCAAATTTCTGTATCCTAGGAAAAATATAGATGGCTTGCAGATGTGCCGCAGTCCTGTGTACCCCACAGAAGGTCAGCTAATACTTTTTAGTCAGGTCCTAGAAGGGAGATGGGAACCTTCTGACAACCCTAGTCACTGTAGGGTATATGGCTTTACAAGGTAAGGCATCCCGAGCTATAATTTTTTAATTTTTTTTTTTATATTTTACCAGACTTAGCATTTCTTCGGTATAGGGAATTCTTATTAAGGAAACGCATAGATTGGCAGGGTGGGGAGGGGAGCTGCATAGTGAATTAGGCTCAAAGGCAGGCCTTTCTGCCTTAGGCCTACTGCCCCAAGAAAGGCTCTGTTAGAAGACAGCTCACCCATCAGGCAGCTCCCTCTGTGACACGGACCCTGTGATGAGCTTTGCCGAGTAATACCTGAGGACAGACTGTGGGAGAATTCTCAAGGATTAGATGTGAAAGCAGAAGCGACGTCAGTGTGGGTCGTCCCCCTGAGAAGTAGCAAAAAAGCCTCATGATAAGAAAAGAATTTGAATTGACCGCATCATAGGATGGAATTGTGCTATGAACCGCATTGCTAGGGAAGGGGGGGCTCTCTCTTCCTCTCCTCTTCCTCTTGTCCCACACTCTGGCTGGGGGGAGCAGGGTTGGTGTGACATCAGCATCCTTCATCTGCTCTTCTCTCATCTCCTCCCACGTTGGCTGTGGGCCCAGGGCTGAGCAGCAGCACCTGCTGATTGGGCAGGCCTCTTCTTTCCCCCTAGACCTGGGGGGCTGGGAGAGAGGAGCCAAAAATGCCTTGAGGCGGGCCCCTCACCCACGTCCTTCCCTGGCCCAGCAGCATGTTGTCCCAGGCTGGATTGCCTGGTCAGCTCCTTGGAAAATGAGACAGCGAAGGCCGCTAGGTGGCAGGATGGGACTGTATTAATCTTGACCTCTGGCTCTGTTAAACTCGTCTTTTCTGTGGGCGTCTCTACCACAGAGGGGCTAATGATGCTGAAAGGACTATTAGGAAAGACTGGCTGCTCAGAGATCTTGGGCTGAGGCGACTGGGGACGGGGGAATCTCAGTAGGTCAAACTCTTCTCCCCCTGCCTCACCTACCTCTGTTCTTGGGTCACTCACACATGACCAGCTTCTGCTCTTTTTCCTCGGCTCCCCCTCCCCCTGCCCCCAGACCCGTGCATCCAATCAGTTGCCTCTTCCTGTAGATGCTTCCTCCTCTGGGGTCTTTGACTGTCCTCCCTCCCTTGGCCTCCCACTCCCTCTGCCCCAGTTGGGGCCTTAGCACTTCATGCCTCACTTGTTACAGTAATTTCCTAACTGTTCTCGTGGCCCCTGGTACCTCCCCACTCTAGCCCGTCCTGCCAGCAGCTGCCGGCAGATGGAGCATCCTCAAACACTCTTTGATCTTATCCCTTCTCTGCCAGTATTAAAGGCCTTTCACAGTATGGTCCAAACCAACATTTCCACCCTTATTTCGAGCTACATGAACCCTTTGCTCTAGCCAAAACGTCCTGCTCTTTCTTCTTTGAAAATGCCGCGCCCTACAACTACAAGTTTGCCCCCAAAATGGCCCCCAGGAGCCGAGACCCTCCTGATCTCCTCTCAGGGCTGACCACAGCCCACCTCTGCTTCCTGATGCGCGGCCACCGCGCAGTTTCCCCCTTTGGACTCCCAGCCCTTCCTGCTCAGTTGGCATTTACTGCCTATGGTCTTGGGCGGTCTTTCCCTTCATATAAGCCCCAGCTCCCCACTAAGCCAGAGCTCTCGGAGTCAGAGGACAACATCGTCCCTTTACGTCCCCTCAGTTCTCAGAGCAGAAGACACACAAGCATGTGAGAACGTGCTGGATTCCTCCATGGAGGCTGCCCCGAACAGACTTTGTTAATGGTTTCCTCCGTGACTGTGGCTTCCTGTTCCCTCTGTGATAAATAAGACAGCCTAAGTTCCGTGCTGGTTTTTTGTTAGTTTGTTTGACAAATACCTCCAGCTTATCTTCTTTGCATCTACATGAAGTAAAGCACCAGGCCCCCAAGGAGCAGCTCTTTCTGGGGACCCTCTTCATCTCTTGCTAAGCTGGTGAGCACCAGTGCTACCTCCTGGTGTGTGGGGGCACCATGCGGGAACCACTAGCAAGGACTGAGATGCTGATGTCCGATTTGTTCCACTGTGCCCTTCTGAACCCAGGCACTGTGGACTATACAGAAGGTGTTTCTTGTTTGTGATTGGCTCCAAAATTATTCTCAGGCCTCAGAGGTCTGGTATTGTACTCTAGTGAGGCTCGGACCCTGTTGTCTCTATGTCTGATAGATTTTTATGGATTGCCAAGGCGGATTCTGTAGGCTCTCCAGATTTCCTATTGTCTCTTCAAATATCTATAAACCACCGCAAGTAGTCCAGAAACTTTAGGAGCAATGCCCATCCAGTCAATCAGTAAGTCAGTAAACATGTGGCAGCTGGTGGCACATTGGCTAGAGATGGGCCCGGAGTCAGGGAGGCCTGAGTTCAAATTCACCCTCAGACATTCACTAGCTATGTGACCCTGGGTAAGTCACTTAACTTCTCTTTTCTGTAGTTTCCTTAATTATAGACAGGGATGGTAGTAATAGCAGCTGCCTTTCTGGGTTGTTGTGGAATCAAATGAGATAATATTTGTAAATAAGCTATATGCCAGGCACACAGGCGGTGCTTAATAAATGCTCATGCCTTTTCCTTCCCTATGTACGGGGATACGAGGAAATGCAATGTCTTTTCCATCGAGGCGTTCTCCCCAATCAGAGGGGGACACAACATACGCTACAGGCTCCGTCCAGAATAGGAAACGATGACCAGAGGGAAGGCTCTAGAACTAAGGGGCTGGGCAGGGTTTCCTGCAGAGGAGATTTCAGCTGGGAATGTCGGAGGCCAGAGTGGCCCGAAGGTGAAGGTGAGGAAGGAGGTGAGGGCAGCTGCGGGATTTGCCTGGAGGCAGGGGAGGGAGGGGCCTCTCAGGCACAGAGACTTGTTTGGAGAGGGACATTTTTTCTTGGCTCTGTACGTTCGGTGTTCTGGTATGTGTCCAGGGTCTAGACTCGGCCAATCTTCATTCTCCGGGTTCTTTGGTTCACACTTTTCCCTTAATACCAATTCTGATCACCAAGTTTCTAAGCCATTGGTACTGCTTCATTTTTGTTTACATTTTTTTCTTTTGGATAGGCTCAGATTGAGGTCCACCACCACCCCTATTTTACAGACGGGAAAACTGAGGTCCAAAGAGGTTGCACCTTAGAGTTCTTGAAGCATGGATTGTGAATCTCAAAGTGTGGTCTCCATTTCTCTTGAGGGTCTTCTGGGGAAGAACTTGCCTGGCATGTCCAGGAAAGGAATGAGGCCCGGCGATTCCTTATTGAGATTGACGACAGGAAAGAAGAGGTTTCTGGACGTAGTGCAGGCGAACTTGAGCTTAGGGAGCGGAATGGAAAAGGAGCGAGTGGAGGCATGTAGGGTCACGGCTCTGCAGAGCCCTGAGGCCGTGAGCATCGGTGCAGAGTCGGGCCGAGGCCCTGAGGATCGGAGAGCCCACGTCTGGAGCCCAGGACTCTGGGGAAGAACCCCACTTCGGTTCACCTCGTTTCCCCCTGACCCAATGATGAGCGCAGCACTCCTGATTCTCGCGGGACGCGGGTGTTTCTGCTGGCCTCCGATCAGGTTCTGCTCCGGGAGGCTCAGAGCCGCCTTGCAGCGGACGTCCCGCCAGACTTGCGGGGCAGGAAAGCCGAGTTCTGCGGTGCGGATGTGTCCTTTCGTCCCGTGGGTTCAAACTCTTGGCCGGTGCTGTGGCTGTTTAATCCCTCCATCAGGCCCGGCAGACGCGGGGCTGTACTGCCCGACGAGTGATTGGTTGTGATTTTCAATTAGAGCCTTATCAGCAGATATTATGAAGTGCCTACTACGTGCCTGGCTGGGTACTCACCCTGGGGCTATGGAGACAGCGATGAAGCAGTTCCTGCCTCAGGAACATAATCACATTCCACAGAGAGGAAACTGTATCTTGTTCTTCAGTCGACTCTCCCCGACCCCGTTGATTTTCTTGGCAGAGATACTGGAGGGGTTTGCCATTTCCTTCTCCGGCTCATTTTGCAGATGAGGAAACAGAGGCAAACAGGGTGAAGTGACTTACCCAAGGTCACACAGCTGGATTTTAACTTGGGAAGGTGAATCTTTCTGACTGCAGACCTGACCCTCTATGAAACCCTTCCTGCCCTCCAGTAGCATACATTCTATGGAGAGGAAACTCTGTGTATTGTTATCATTCAGTCATTCAGTCGTGTCCGGTTCTTTGTGACCCCATGTGGAGTTTTCTTGGCAGAGATACTGGAGTGGCTGATCAGTGAACTAGGCAGACAGTGGTTAAGTGACTTGCCCAGGGTCACACATCTAGTGCGTGTCTGAGGCTGGATTTGAACTCAGGTCTTCCTGACTCTAGTCCCAGTGCTCTGACCACTGAGCCACCAGCTGCCTCTCTGTAAAGAGGTCAGTAAACATAATGTGAAAGACAGTATTGGTAAAAAGATGGACCCTTTTTGCAGGGAGGAGCTTGGGATTCCCAAAAGCTCGCACCCGGGCCTCAAACCCAGCCCTGCTCAGTCTCTTTGCCTGCCTTCAGGCTGTTTTCCATCAGCGGTGTTTATGCCATGGACATGCCGAGGATGAACCTGCACGGTGGGCTCCCCACTCACCACACAGCGTAGCTTGGGCAGCAGCAGGCTTTATCCACGTGGTTTGTCCTGTGTGCCTGGTCTAAGACAACTGTGGATCGGAGTGAGGAGGCTTTGCTGGGCCTTCAGCAGTGTCTTATCTGTCAATGGGCATGCTGAGGAGGCCTCCCTGTGTCTCAAGGGTCCTCCTTCCATGTCCATCCTCCAGGACAAAGGCAGGCCTCTGCTGGGCGTGTGCTTAATAATCTCTCACGCTTCTAATAGGCAGCAGGTTGTCAAGCAAAGTGACCTCTGGAGTTACATCTCCCACGGAATCTCATGGGATTCCAACATGGATGCTGGAGATGCCTTGTTGGAAGAGAGGCCTTGAAGGGGCGCTGGCTGCGATGAAGCTCGGGCCCCCTTGGAGGCCCATAATGCCTCTAAACTACAACCGCGGTCACCTGTGTGACTATAAAGATGGAATCTGCTGTAGGGCTCTCTACAGAGCGGGCTGTGAAGTCAGGAAGACCTGAGCTCGTGTCTAGCCTCAGACATTTGCTAAATGTGTGAACGTGGGAAAATCGTTTCACTTCTGTCTGTCTCAGTTTTCTCATCTGTAAAATGGAGGCAATGATGGCACCTACCTCCCAGGCTTGTCATGAGAATCAAATGAGATAACACAAGTGAAGTGCTTTGCAAACCTTAAAGCTCTATGTAAATGCTATTATTATTGTTAATCAAAGATGTCCTTGATACGTGTTGATTATTTTCATAAAGAATTCTTAGAGATGACGGGGCTCAGTATTGACTTCTGTATACAGCAGGTACTCAACATATGATCTTCTTTCCAGTTGTCCGGATGTGAACCCTGTTTTATCCTTAGAAAACAAAAACAATCGTAGACCTCTAGAATTGGGAGGGATCCTTACTTAGAGATGAAATAGCCCAAAATGTAGTCATTTTACAGATGAAGAAACTGCAGTCCACCGAGTGCCACTGTAGGTAAATATTTGTACTTTGTGGGAAAAAAACCCTAGGTATGATACAAATGTGCAAGATTGAAAATGATCAGGTCTTGCTCTTAATAATAACTTCTCAGCAAATGTAATTAGATTAAAAGCGTCACTCAGCATGTTTTATTTCTTCTCTTTAGGGGGTATTCTACGAAGCACGTTGTAGAAGGTCTGGAGCCTAGAACGTTGTATAAATTTCGATTAAAGGTCACAAAGCCCTCTGGAGAATATCACTATAGCCCAGTTATCTCAGTGTCTACGACCAGTGAGTATGGACTTTTTCTGCCTCTCCAGCTCTGTAAGATGAATGGGGTGGAGGGGTGGAGGGGGGGCGGGGGGTGGGAAGCTGGCTTCCATGTATTTGGAAAATGGGCTGTCATCCTGCTTCCTGGCCAGGCCTTGAGATGGCAGGAGGAAGGGCAGATTCTTCTTTCTCCAATTAGACAGTGTGTGTTTATGTCCAGGGGAGGTGATGGGCTTCCCTGCTTGGCCTCTTGGAGGGCGTGGACCATACTGGGGGATGGGAGCAGGCCTGGAGACAAGTCTGACCTTTCTCACTACCTGCTCCTCTCCTGATGGCTTCTGGGCTTGGGCCTCACTTTCTATCACCATGCTGGCAATTTCTGCCAGCCAACAGGCCTGCTTGTTCTTCTGTCAGAATCAAAGCAGAATTAAGTGAATGCCCTGGAGGGAAGGGTTGGGAGGAGGCTTCCGGGTTAACGCAGCCCACAGGAAATAGATCTGAATGGCACATACTGAGCTGTCCAGCAGCTGTGTCCTGAAGGACGTGTGTGTCTCCTTATGACCTGGCATTTATAGGACACTTCATGAAATGCCGTATAAACTCTCCAAGACGCTTACTGATAGAAGAGCCACTGATCTGTGTTGGTGGAGGTGGGTCGCCACCATGGGTAACATGAGTGAAATCCCCAGTCTGGACCATAAAGGCATAGATGTGATGTCATGGGACCCTCCCCATAGCCCTCCAAGAGAGAGGGGGAGGGACTGCAGGGGTCCTGTGCCTGTGTGCCATGCCCATGAGGAAGCCGACTTGCAGGCTGCTGACGTGACTTGTCCTTGGTCAGATATAGCCAGTGCATGTCAGAGGCCAGGCTAGATGCCAAGACGCTACACTCTGATGCCTGGGCTCTCTCTCCCTGCTCTCCCACCATTCCCTCCCCCCAACTCCACAGGGGTTGGGTGGTGTTTTGAAAATGATTGTAGCAAAGCTTCCAGGAGTGTGGCAAGGACAAGCTTGACACAGAGACGTGACCTTTCAGAAGCATCTCCTTTTCTTCCTTTCTTCCTTTCTTCCTTTCTCCTTTCTTCCTTTCTTCCTTTCTTCCTTTCTTCCTTTCTTCCTTTCTTCCTTTCTTCTTTCTTTCTTTCTTTCTTTCTTTCTTTCTTTCTTTCTTTCTTTCTTTCTTTCTTTCTTTTTTTAAAGGCAATTAGGGTTAAGTGACTTGCCCAGGGTCACACAGCTAGTAAATGTCAAGTGCTTGATCTGAGACCGGATTTGAACTCAGGTCCTCCTGACTTCAGGGCCGGTGCTCTATCCACTATACCACCTAGCTGCCCCGTGTTCTGGTTTTTCTGATGGCGTGGACCTTTGGGCACCTGCTGTAGTGGCATCTGCTCTGTGTGTGTGTATTTAGAATAATAGTTTATTTTCCCCTGATTACATTTAAAAACCATTTTTAACATTCATTTTAAAAAATTTGAGTTTCAAATTCTCTCCCTCTTCCCCTCTCTCATCATTGAGAAGGCAAGCAATTTGATACAGGTTTATACGTGTGCTGTCAAACAAAACATATTTACACATGGTCATGTTGTGAAAGAAAAACCCACAACAAAATACAGAAAGTAAAAAATATCGCGCTTCGATCTGCATTCCGACTCCATAGCTCTTTCTTTGGAGGTGAACAGCGTTTTTCATCATGGGTCCTCTGGAATTGTCTTGGATCTTTGTGTTGCTAAGAATCACTGAGTCATTCACAGTTGATCATCTAGTTCTTTGCTACCACTAAAGGAGCTGCTATAAATATTTTTGTGCAAATAGGTCCTTTTCCCTTTTCTTTTTGATCTCTTTGGGATACAAACCTAGTAGCAGTATTGCTAGGTCAAAGATAGTATGCACAGTTTTATGCCCTTTGGACATAGTTCCAAATTGCTCTCCAGAAAGGTTGGATCAGCTCACAACTCCACCAACTGTGTATCAGTGTTTCAATTTTCCCACATTCCCTCCACCATCTATATTTTTTCTTTTCTGTCATATTAGCCAATCTGATAGGTATGAGGTGGTACCTCAGAGTTGTTCAAATTTGCATTTCTCTAATAAATAATGATTTGGAGTATTTTTGATATAACTATAGATAGCTTTGATTTCTTCTTCTGAAAATTATCTGTTTATATCCCTTGACCATTTATCTGCTGGGAAATGATTTCTATTCTTATAAATTTGCTCACTTCTCTATATGTTTGAGAAATGAGGCCTTTATCAGAGATGCTTGCTGTAAAAATATTTTTTTCCCAGCTTTCTGCTTTCCTTCTAATCTTTGTTGCATTGGTTTTGTTTGCACAAAACCTTTTTAATTTAATATGATCAAAATTATTCATTTTATATCTCATAATGCTTTCTGTCTCTTGTTTGGTCATAAAGTCTTCCCTTCCTCCATAGATCTGACAGGTAAACTATTCGAGGTCCCCTAATTTGCTTATGGTATCATCCTTTATGTCTAAATCATGTACTCATTTTTACCTTATCTTGGTATATAGTGTAAAATGTTGGCCTATACCTAGTTTCTGCCATACTGTTTTCTGGTTTTCCCATTTTTCAAGTAGTGAGTTCTTGACCCAAAAGCTTGGGTTTTGGGGTTTATCAAACACTAAATTACTATAGTTATTTATTGTTGTGTACTGTATACCTAATCTATTCCACTGATACATCACTCTGTTTCTTAACCAGTACCACACAGTTTTGGTGATTACCACTTGGTAACACAGTTTGAGATCTGGTATTACTAGGTGACACCTTCCTTCACATTTTTTTCATCGATTCTCTTGATATCCTTGTTTTTTTGTACTTCCAGATGAATTTTGTTCTTATTTTTTCTAGGTCTATAAACTAATTTTTGGTAGTTTGATTGGTGTGGCACTGAATAAGTAAATTAATTTAGGTAGAATTGTCATTTTTGTTATATTAGCTCCACCTACCCATGAGCAACTGATATTTTTCCAATTGTTTAGAACTGACTTTATTCATGTAAAAAGTGTTTTATAATCACGTTCATATAGTTCCTGGGTTTGTCTTGGCAGGTAGACTCCCAAGTATTTTATATTGTCTACAGTAATTTTAAATGGAATTTCTCTGTTTATCTCTTGCTGCTGGACTTTGTTGGTAATATATAGAAATGCTGATGATTTGTGTGGGTTTATTTTATGTCATGAAACTTTGCTAAAGTTGTTAATAATTTTTTTAGTATTCTCTAAGTATACCATCATATCGTCTGCAAAGATAGTTTTGTTTCCCCATTGCCTATTCTAATTCCTTTTCTTCTCATTGCTATAATTAGCATTCCTAGTACAATATTGAAGAATAGTGGTGATAATGGACATCTTTGCTTCACCTCTGATCTTGTTGGGAAGGCTTCTAGCTTATCCCCATTACAGATAATGCCTCTTGATGGTTTTAGGCAGATGTTACTTAGCACTTTAAGGAAAGCTCCATTTATTCCTATCCTCTCTAGTATTTTTAATAGGGATGGGTGTTACATTTTGTCAAAAACTTTTTCTGCATCTACTGAGATGATCATAAGATTTCTGTTTTTTTTTATTGATGTGGTCAATTATGTTGATAGTTTTCCTGATATTGAACTAGCTTTGCATTCCTGGTTATAAATCCCACCTCATCATAGTGGATGATCCTTTCGACATAGTGCTGTAATCTCCTTGCTAGCATTTTATTAATCCTGGCCTATTTTTTCCAAATAGTTTATATTGTATTGGGATTAATTGTTCTTTAAATGTTTGGTAGAATTCTCTTGTGAACTCATCTGGCCTTGAGGATTTTTTCTTAGGGAGTTCGTCGATGGCTTGTTAAATTTCTTTTAGTCTGTCCCTCCTCATAAGTGTCTTACTTCTGACCATCATTTCCCCCAATCTGCCCTCCCTTCTATCAGGATCCCCACCCCCACATTCTCTTCTCCCTCTCCCCTCCTACTTCCCTATTGATTTCTCTACCCAACTGAGTGTGTGTTATTCCCTCTGAGTCAGTTCCAATACGAATAAGGTTTAAGCATTGCCCACCACTCCCCTCTCCCCTATTTTCCCGTGAACTGTAACAGCTCTCTCATGTCTTTTCATGTGACATAATTTACCCCATTCTGTCACTCCCTTCCCTCTTTTCCCAGTGCAGTCCTCTTTTTTTTGGATAGCATCCCATTAACTCAAACCTGAGCCCTCTGTCTACGTGTACTCCTAACTGCCCCAATAATGATAAAAGTTCTTAAAGGCTACAAGTAGTGTCTTCCCGTGTGGGAATGTAAACAGTTTCACCTTACTGAATCTCTTATGTTTTATCTGGCCTGTTTACCTTCTTATGCTTCGCTTGAGTCTTGTATTTGAAAATCCGATTTCCTGTTCAGCTCTGGTCTTTTTCATCAGGAATGCTTGAAAGCCCTCTGTTTCACTAACTATCCCCTTTTTACCCTGAAAGATTATATTCAGTTTCATTGGGTAGCAGTTTATTCTTGGCTGTAACTCTAGCTCCTGTGCCCTTTAGAATATCACATACCAACCCCTCTGATCCGAATCCTGACTGTGACTCCATGATATTTGAATTGTTTCTTTCAGGCTACTTTCAGTATTTTCTCCTTGGCCTGGAAGCTCTGGAATTTGGCTATAATATTACTGGGAATTTTTATTTTTGGATCTTTTTCAGGAGATGATTGGTGGATTCTTTCAGTTTCTAGGTTACCCTCTGGTTCTAGGGCACCAGGGCAGTTTTCCTTGACAATTTATTGAAAGATGATGTCTAGGCTCTTTTTTTGATCCCGACTTTCAGATAATCCAGAAATTCTTAAATCATCTCCCTTGGATCTAATCTCCAAGTCAGTTGTTTTTCCAATGAGATGTTTCACATTTTCTTCTATTTTTTCATTCTTTTGATTTTGTTTGATTGATTCTTGATGTCTCATTGAGTCATTAATTTCCCCTTGCCCAATTCTAATTTTTAAGGCAGTTCTACTTTTTAAGGAGTTGTTTTCC